TCCTTTGCACTTACCTAAATATGTTCTATGAGCAAGTATGTGGTCTATTTTGGAGAACAACCCATGTGCAGCTGTAAAGAATGTGTATTCTGATTTTGTGGGGTGGAACAGTCTGTAAACATCTGTTAAGTTCATTTGTTCAAGAGTTTGATTGAGTTCTTGTATTTCATTCCTCGTTTTTTGTCTAGTTGATCTTATCTATTTGTGACAGTGGGGTACTGAGGTCCCCCACTATTATTGTATTAGTGATTATATGATTTTTCATTTCTGTATTTGTTTTACATAGTTGGGTCCACTAGTGTTTGGTGCATAGATATTCATGATTGTCATCTCTTCCTCTTGGATTGTTCCCTATACAAGGATGTAGTGTCCTTCTTTGTCTCCCTTAATCAGTGTTGGTTTGAAATCCACTTGATCTGCAAAGAGGATAGCTACTCCTGCTTTTTTGGGGGGTTCCTGTTGCATGGAGTATTGTTTTCCACCCTTCAACTTTCAGTCTATGAGTTTCTTTTTGAATCAAGTGTGTTTCTTGCATGCAGCATATTGTTGCATTTTGCTTCTTGACCCATTCTGCTAGTCTATTTCTATTGATTGGTGAATTGAGACCATTAACATTGATGGTTATAACTGATATGTATTGACTTATCATTTTCATGATGGTTTTTTTTTGTTGGGTTCTCCCCCTTTATATTTAATTTCTTGTCGTCCCCGGTGGATTCATTCTGCTGGACTTCCAGGGGTTGTGATCCTTGTTGTCTTTTACTAGGATCTTGTGTAAAATTTTGTGGAGTGCTGGTTTGGTATTCATGAAGTTCCTAAGGTACTCTTTGTCCTGAAAGTATTTTATGTCTCCATGAATTTTGAAAGATAGTTTTGCAGGGTACATCAATCTGGGTTGGAGGCTATTTTCCTTTAGGGCTTGCAGTACTTCACTCCAAGTTCTTCTTTCCTTGAGAGTTTGCGTTGAGATGTCTGCTGTGATTTTGATGGGCTTTCCTTTGTATGTGATTTGTTTCTTTTCTCTAACTGCTTATAGAACTTTGTTCTTCTGTTGTGTTTCTGGAATCTTAACAATTACATGCCTATGTGTAGATTTTTTTGATCAAGGCTAGTTGGAGTCCTATATGCCTCACTGATCTGTATGTCAAGTTCTTTTCCCCTCCTTGGGAAGTTTTGTGCCATCACTTCTGTGAACAGTTTTTTTTATGTCATCTGTACTCTCTTCTCTTTCTTCATTGACTCCAACCATTCATATGTTATTCTTCTTTGCATCATCTAGCAGCTGCTGGATTGATGTCTCGTGATCCCTTACAATTTTAAAGCAATTCTTTTCCTGGTCCCTAATTGCAATCTTATCTTCTATATCTGAAATTCTGTCCTCACATTGGCTCATTCTGTTGCATAGACTTTCAATGGAGCTTTTAATCTCCTCGAAATCTGTTTGCATGTGTTTTATGGATTCCTTTTGTTTCCTATGTTGGGATTCCATCATTTTCCTCAGCTCCTCTAGTTTTTTTATTTGTATCTACTCTATATTTATTAATCATGTCTTGCATTATGGGCACAATCTCTGTTGTTATGTGAGAAAGTATTTCTGATTTCATTTTTTCCAGATCCTCTTTTGTTGCTAGTTCAGGGAGTCTAGGTGGTTGAGTATCAGAGTGTTCCATCTCATTTTCCTTTGGGGTTGCTGTAGGTGATCTGGAAAATCTGGTTCTGAAGGCTCTTCCTTCTGGGAGGGGGGTGCTGCTGCCACCCTCACCTCCTCTGTGCTTGGAGCAGGGGTAGGTTGGCCCAGAAGCCTCCTGCTCTGCACAGGAAAAAGACACTCTTAACAAGTTAAATTAAAATGTTTCATCTTAAAGCAAAGTAACCAAGCACCAGGAATGATAGAACACCCAGGAACAACTTGTTCTAGGATCTGCTTTATATTGTCATAAAGTTATAACAATATTCAAAAGATTGCCCTTGCCCTTGAAATACATAATTCAAAGTTATCTAATATTTTTTTTTAAAGCAGACATGTGTGCTGCTGATTCACATGAAGAGGAAATTTGTTTCACCATCTCCAGAAGACATTTTTGGAAAGTTGAATATAAAAGCTTTGTTTGTAAATTAAGTTATTTTTCCATTTACCTATACTAAATGCTTTTGAAATGCATGGTATCATTCATGCTTTACTGAATTACTAATGTGTGTAGCAAGCTTTTTATAAGACTTTGTGCTTCTATTTTATAATTAACTACAGTCTATACCAAGAATTAAAAATTAGCAGAGCAATGAGATTTAAAGAAACTCCTTTTTAAAGTAATTACATTTAGGCACGATTATTTGTTTCTTAATTTCAGATGATTATATATTACATTTTCTTAAAAGAGGGTACATCTGTATTTTACATATTGGAAGTTAAATTAGTAATCATCTATGACCATGAGGATTTAAATCAGAAGAATCAATATATTTGAGTATGATACATAATAGCACTCAGATTTATTTTGCTGTTCAGATCTTTAGTTTGGAATGGCCTTTCCAAATTATCATCTGTAGTATTTACTAATAACTGTAGTCATAAATTTAGAATTTATTGAGCATTTAATGACTATCTTCTATATATTAAAACATTCCTTGGTATTACGTTACAAAAATAGTTCAGATGGGCTGGGGATTTAGCTCAGTGGTTTTGCCACCTGGTGCGCAAGCGCAAGGACCCAAGTTCGATCCCTGGTACCAAAAAACAAAACAAAACAAAACAAACCTTCAGATGTGTTTCTACAGTTTGAGAGACTCATTATAATATAATTAGGTTTATAAGTTATAAACTGTGTAATAGTCTGTAATGTAATATATATGCGTTTAAAACAAAGGCATGAAAACTGAGGATTTAGCTCAGTAGTAGAGTGCTTGCCTACCATGTGAAAGGCTATGGGTCGGTAGCACTTCAAAACAAAAACCAAACAAACCACCAACAACTACAACAACAACAACAAAGCAAGAAGGAGATCCTTCATCTCTTAAATTTAAAAAACAATTTTTGCATATTTAAATGGTGCTCTAAGTTACATTTTGTTCCACTTTAATGATGTTTACACTGGTTTATTATGAAATAACACATGTGAATCAAGTACCAAAAGAGGTAGTCTGCTTCATTATTTTTCCCTGTACTTTCCATTGTTCTACATGAGTGTAGAAAGTGTGTGTCAATTTATAATCATAAAAAAAGAAACCAAAAAACTGAGGAATGTGGACCAGAAGGACTCTTTCACAAATGAACTGCCAGCTGTTGCCATCACTCAGGCAGGAAACATCACTCAGGGAGGAATTCAGCAAGTGGGCCAAAGGGAGACTCAAGTTTTCAAACAGGAAGCACCATGGAATCTGCTTCTGGCTGTCAGAGGTTGCTAGTGTAAAGCTCCAAAGCTCCTGGGGAAAGATGACGCCTGTCTTTGTAGTTAGAAGGTCATGGGTTGTGTGTGTGTGTGTGTGTGTGTGTGTGTGTGTGTGTGTGTGTGGTGTTAAACTGAGAGACTTGATTTATGTAACACACTTAGTTTCACTGATAGTAGGACTACAGTGAACAAACTAATTTTAATCTGAACCATGACATTTAGTGCCTGATGTGATCCAGAACAAATCAATTAACCTTGCTGGGTAATAATTCTTTCATGAACCTATAACTCAAATGTCTTGGGTCCATTAGACTACACCTACAAATGAAAAATAGCATTTCCATTAAATTATGAAAATTACAGTGGAGAAGATACCAAATTGATTTCTAGAAATTAGTAACTAACATGTTTCCAGGGGACACCTGAGGGACTGCCAGGTGCTCTCTTAGGTACTCTTAGCCACATCCCCTATTCTCTGACTTAGCATATTGCTGCCTTGCCTTCTTTGTATGCCACTGTTCTCTCTTCTGTGACGAGCATGGACACAGGACATTTGTCTTCCTCTCCTGCACCAATGAAAGCACAAGAAAAGGCCTTGCTGTTAATTCCCTTTAGCACAGCACAGATTTTTTGGCTTGTACCATTTATCAACACTTTACTGCAGATTCCTACCAAGAAAAGAGAAATAGAACACATATCAGGCAAAAGCTCTGGTTGGTGCTGTATGCCTGTAATTTCAGCTACTCAGGAGGCTGAGGAAGGAGTGTACAGGTTCAAGGTCAGCCTGGGAAATTTACCAAAGATTGTCTCAAAACTTTTTTAAAAAACCTTAAAAAATAGTCAAGGAAGACACAGTCCTTCCTCACTCATCTCCTCCCCTCTCTCCTCTCTATGAGTAGATATTGAATACCTACTCTGTGTTAGGTACTGGTAAGGAAAAACAGGCTTGATCCCTGCTCATGGGTCCTATAGTCATATAGTCTAATGGAAGAGATAGACATTAACCCAATAATCACATAAATAAAAATCATTATAAGTTGATAAATTCTTTGAAGAGAAAGTAGAGTGTTAGATAAAGGGAAGCTTACTTAGTCCTGGAAGTTAGGACTAGAGTTCCTGGAAAGATGACAGCAGAGCGAGCCAAAAGCTGAAGGATTCATGGGGATTCAGAGGTTCAGGGGGCTGGATAGAGAAAAACAGACAATGCTGAAGGATAAAGTATTAAAAAGAGTAAGCAACATCTACACAAAATGTGTACACAAATGTTCAAAGCAGCCTTATTCACAATAGCTAAAAAGTAGAAACAATCAAAATGTCTATCAACAGATAAAATGATCAATAAAATATGCTGTATGCATAGAATGGAATCTTTCCAAATGGCAATAAAATGAGGTACTGAAACATGCTATAACATGGACCTTAGAAAACATCACACTATGTTTGTGAGAATGAAGTGAGACATAAGAGATCATATGTTGACTATTTATATGAACTATCAATATCCAGAATAGGCAAATTTATAGAGACATAAAGTGATGTTTTAGGGCTGGAGATGAGGTGGGGAATTGACGACTAATTGGTATGGCTTTTTCTAAGGAGGGACACAACTGTTCTAAAATAAATTTTGATGATGGTTGCACAACGCTGTAAATATTTTTTAAAAACACTGAATTGTATGAAAGTGAATTATATTGCAATAAAACTGTTAAAAAAGAAAGTAATCTTAAAAGGAATTCAAGAATTAGAGACATTGTAGAACTGGATCTCAATCTTAAATTTCTTCTCACTTCATATTTATTATACTCCAGATAACTATAGCTAGCACAAGAGACCACAATACTTACTTTTAGGGTGAGCTGGGAGGATTTATGGTTCTATTAATACATGTTAGAATGCTAGAGTTTAGCCCACTGTTCATCTGAATTAGCAATAACAAGCAGCTCTTTTGGTTAATCATAATGAGAGCTGTAAACATTTTAAAAGTACTAATTAGCATTAAAAAAAAGTCTTGTTAAAATATCTTTTCCCCTTGTTATATTTTTCCTTTTAAAAGTAAGCCTATAATATTTCACGAAATATTTTAAGGTGTTAGCTTAAAATGTACTTTCTATCTGGTTCTTAAATTTTGATTAGGAACATGTGAATCATTATTTATTAAAACTATATAGGTTCAAAATAGCTTTAGAAAAAGGGAATATGAGATTGAGCAGGTGGCAATGCTTCCGTTTTCACACTCTGGGAAGGCCAGTGTTTCCTAGGAAAGTATTCCTGGTATCTGTATTAATCAGTTTCATAGTTCCTCAGCTGGTGTGCGTGTCCAATTTCATTTGGCTTGTGCTGTTGATGCTGTTAGGTTTTCATAAAGGTTGATTTCATTACCCTTTCCAGCTTCCGTCCTACTGGTGTGTGCATGCCAAAGTGTAATTCAGGCTTAACTACTCTGTGTGTAGGCTAAATTGCCTTGTTTTATGTATGAGGAAGTTGAGACTCAGGGACAATAAGAAACCTTGATTTGGTTGTGTCACTAGTCAATGACAGGGCTTCAAGTTGGAAGTCAAGTCTCCCGATTTGAGTTTTAGTGAAATTTCCTCATTTCCCAGCCTTTGAGCTTTTCAAATCTTACACTAAGGGAGTAAGTATCTAAAGAAAATTAATTTTATATTACCTTTTTCTTAGAACTGGCTTATAGAAGAGATACTCATCTGAGTACTGTAAATGAAGAAAGGTAATCAAATGCGAACCCTTCCTTTTGGGCCACTGGTTTTTCTCAAGTAACAAAGTTCCCTTTTATTTATTCTATTAAGTAGCAGAAATCCACTTTTTAAACAAAAGGCATCAGACAGCCTTAGGGTTCTGATTTAATGGATCAAGGTCATTGGAAATTAAATCTTTCACAATCCCTCCTCACCTGTAATACAAGTCTCCTAACCTCCCTGTTTTGGCCTCTTTAAAATCCATTCTCTGTAGGGAAGATCTTTCAAAACAAAATTACTTACTGTAACTTATTTTCATATGGCTTAACAGCGACAGATAATCCCCGCCCCTAGTTCTCTAGAATCTAAACTTCAGTATTTGTCTTCATCACTGCTCAATTGACAGCCTGGAGTAGTGCCTAAAATATGTAGGAACACAACAAAAATTTGTTGAATGAACGTATGAATGCACCATCTCCTCCAAAACTTAATTCCTAATGAAGATACACTTAAAAATGTGTTTCTCATCTGTCAGATACTTCCAATTTGAGGAACCCATACCCTTAGGTAGACAGTACAATTTAAATGGCCTGGCCTTTACAATGTAATTGGAAGTAATCTACTAGCTGTTTCATCTCTTAGTTTCTGACGTCTGGATGAGCATCAGGGCCTGGAGATCGCTTGACCTGATTCTTGGGGTTCGGATAGGGCCAATGGCCTGTTGCGCTGTTTCTAAAGATGCTAAGGAGAAGGGGAGGGGCCACCGCCAGATTCACTGGGGCTGCTAATTTGGGAAGGGGCCGGGGCTTCAGAGGACAGCAAAGGTAGCCTCGTGGCGAAGAATCTCTTTGGCCGCAGACGGTAAGCCTAGGGGGTCGAAGGAAAGGAGGAAGGGTCTGAAACCAAAACTGCGGAGGAAACCAAGGCCTGGGTATTTTGCCGAGGGAAGGGTTAACTGTTGCCAAGGTAACGGACCAGGAAACGCGCAAGACGTCCGCCACAGGTTCGCAAGTCAGCCTCGAGTTTTAAGCTCCCACCGCTGAGCTGGTTCTGACCAATGGAGAGGTGCCCTCAGTGTCACGTGACCTGCGGGCCCATGACGTTAGCTGTCTCGGAGCACGTGGGAAGGTTTTTTCCGGTCCCTTCTTTTCCTTCTAAAAACCCACCTACTTTTGCGCGGGGTGGACCACGGAGTTGCTCTCGCGAGAGGTGAGTCTGCTCTCGCGAGAGTGAGTGGGAGGTGTGTGGAGCAGCGGCTCTGCGAGCTGGAGCTGCGGCGGAAGCCGAGGGGGTGGGCAGGGCGGGGGCGGGCCGTGGGGCTGGGCGGGGGGAGGGCCGGGGCTAGTGTGGGAGGGGGTGTCCGCTTGCTAGCCGGTCTCGCGCCTCTGGTCGTTGCTGGTCGGTGGCGAGTGAGTGACAAGCCTGTGAGCTTCAGAGGCTGTGGCCGCCAGGTGAGCGGAGCGAGCGGCCGGCCCATCGGTTGGTAGGTGAGGGTATGTGGTGCTGGGATGGATGCAGCGTCCGGGCTCGGCAGCACCGGCCACCCTGCCTGCCCGCGTTCTCGGCTCGGGCTTCGGGGCCGCCCGAATGCTGCACCTTCGCTTGGCGGTGGGCGGAGGGCAGGAAGAGCTGGGCAAGGGAGGAAGCCCAAGGCCCTGGGCCCAGAGGAGAGGGGCACCCTGGGGTCTCCAGTTCTGCGGTGGAGCTCCCGCCCCTCAGGATGACAGTTTGCACCCCAGCGTTGGTCTTCAGAGCTGGGCCCTTGGTGCCTGGTGGGTGTGCTTATTTGTGGCCGTAGTGCACGCAGAGAAGCGTACGCAGGAAGAGGAGGACGTTGCACTTTGTCCCCAAACTGCATCTTTCACTGTCAGAATCTCTGAGCCCTGGAAACCAGGCTCTTCTCAAATCTTGTGACAGAAGTCGAAGGCGTCAAGTGGCCTCTTGGAGTATTGATATTTGCTTTTTGCTGTCACATTCTGTAGTAGGCTGTTAATGGCCTAAACGCAGGCCACTTAGTCCAAGCGGTTGGGAGTACTTATGTTATCTCAGGCATGTAAACTGCTGTATGAAAGAAAGTGTAATCTGTAATGGAAGTATTAAAAAAAAAGAAAAAGACAAAATGACAATGACAGTGAAATCTAAACCACCACAGTGGTATGACTTGGTAACAGTTGTTTTCCTCTGCTTTCCCTCTCCTCTACAACCTTATTAATTGGAGATGTTTTAATGTAAAATGTTAAGCATTTCATAGCTTTAGTGCATACTGACGTAAATAATTCCAGTTCTGTTCTTAACTTTATAATTTATTCAGTCGGTTTCTAAATGCTTAAATTTTCCCAAGCTTCTTCCCACCTTGTAAGAAATGTTATGTTGATACTGATCTTATTATCTGTAAAAAATACACAGAAAATAGGGTATTCAGAAAAAATCGAGTACTTTGTTATGCACACATGATTTGTTTTAGTGTCTTGTTTTTTATTTTAGAGTGAATGGCAGCCCAGTGCATAATATAATTGATGTCCCTTAAAATAGTGCAATGTAATGAATCTTAAACACGTTACTATTTTTTAAGTAGCATCTTGGTTATTCATGCATTTTTATGTTCCTGCAGGCAAAACTAACCCAAGGGCTGTTAGTGACTCTCACAATTAGTTGTTACTGTAACAATGATTTATGAGATATCAAAGATTATAAGGGAGTCAGGGAAGAAGTAGGTTCCCAAGCTGATTTAGTGATTAGTGTGCATATCTACAAAACTGCATTATTTGATAAGACTAATAAAGACTTTTGCAGTATGCTCCTGGGCCAGTGGTATTTCTCAGTTATTGAAGAAACAGTAGTTCAAGACCCAGAAACACAGTAAGAAATTGTCTAGCTTGTCCAACCATTGAACTTCTAGGGTAAGTCTGGAAGCTGAGGAAGTCCTTCACCTTTAGGAACTGAAAAAGGAAGAACTGAAAAAATTTGTTTTTGGTTTTAAATTCAGGAACTTACTGTCTGGAAAACGAACTCAGACCAGTTCAGGCAGTACGGTGTAGATCATTTTAAAGGAAATTTCCAGTTATAAATAGGGAGGGGAGTTGTGTCCATACATGAAAATGTGAAAAGCTTAGCAAATGTTTTTGTGAATGGGCAAAGGAGGAGACTAGATGAGAAAAATTCCTTCCTATTCCATTGTTCAAACTGATTTTCAGAGATAGAAAAACCAAATTTGTGGCTGGTTCTTAATAACCTTAATAACCTTAATAACCTTTTGGCAAGGGTTTCAAACTCCAAGGCCCTAGGCATTTGTCTTGCCTTTGAAAAGTAATTGAAATAACTTTGGGTAGGGTAATTAGTAATTACTTTGATAAACTGATTTTTTTTCTTTTTTGTCTTATGGCCTGCATGTTAGTAATAAAAGCCACGTGTAGGGAATGAGGGGTTAGGTTAAGCTCAAGTTTAGCTTGAGTTTGAGTTAAGGATATTTGAACTGGTATATGAGGAAAGAAAGGAAAATGCTTTATCTTTTTTTTTTTTATATACAAGTCTATTTTTATTTGTAAAAAATAATATCCAACTGAAGCTAATTTGATTTTTAAAATCAATGTTCATTTAGTGATAATGTACATTTTATAATAAAATTGTAAAATACTGACGTTTGATAGTTTAAACAAAGTATCATTTATGTAAAAAATCATGTTATAACATGTAAAATTTAATTAGAAAATTCATAGTTTGCTTTATCAGTTTAAAAACAGGCAGTTCAGATCCAAATGTCTTCATTTTTATGCTCACTATTATATATAAATGTTCATTAAAAATACTTCCTGAAGTAAAGGCATTTGAAATGTGTAGAGACTGGACATGATAAAAAGAGAAAAATTAACATTGTTGGTTAGTCTGGAAATGTTTCATGAGGGAAAAAAATGGTGTAGTGTCCTAGAACAGAGTGGGTTACTTGAATGAAAGTGAGGAATAGAGTTTGGGTTTTGGAGTCAGATCTGTCACTTAAATATCCCTGAGTCTCATTTTCTTCATCCTTGAAATGAGAGTTAAAATACCTACTTTAAAAAGTTAGCTTGAGGGACTGGGAATTTAGCTCAGTGGTGCCACGCCTGCCTTTTAAGCGCAAGGTCCTGAGTTCAATCCCTGGTGCCCCAAAAAAAAAAAAAAAAGTTTGAGGCACCCAGTCGCTGCTCAGTGTTTTTTCTTTGACCCCTCTTCATGACTTGAGAATTATTTGGCTGCCAGAAACAAAAAGCCATTTGAATTAGCTTACTTAAAAAAGGCATTTGTCATAAGGTTGGAGCACTGCCTCTAAAGTCCATTGTGTGATTCTTGCTCAGTGCCCTGGGAACCAGAAGCTCTCTAGCCAGTTACTCTTCTAATTTTTCTCTGGGAATGTGTGGTCTTAGTTCTCTGCTAACTGCATGCCTGTTCCAGTTCTTTCATGTTGTCCTTCTTATGGAAGGTCTTGGTTTCTGCTTCCCTATCACTTTGGTTTGCCAGAGCACCAGTACCTCCCTCACTTTGACTTTGTAGCATGGTTCCTAACAAGTATCTCCAAATCTCAATTCTAAATTTATATATAGAGAAACCTGATTGGTCAGCATTTTACTTGAAGTAGAGTTTGTTGGAGGTGGGGGAAGATTGGAAGTCGTTGAGGAGAAGACTTGTGTGTGTCTCACAGTTATAGGATTGTACTTTTCAGACTGCCATGATAAGTTCTTTAAGAAAAGGAGTATGAAGAGAGAGGAAATGATGGGTACCTTTGGTGTACTTTTCACATTTTGTAGTCTGAGTTCTTCCTACCTAGTAGTATGTTGAATTTTCTCTCTGCTTTATAATGATCTAAGTGGATCTAGTGGTCTCTTTTTTGGGACAGATTCTCCTGGATGTGTCAGTTATGGCAAATTTCTTGAATGCTTCATGCCTTAGCTTCCCTGTATATAAAATGAGTATAATAATAGCATCCCTGGTGAGAATTACAAAGTCACTTATGTAAAGCAGTTAACAGTGTCTACCTAGCAGTGTCTATGGCAGGCACAGTACAAGGAGTATGGTGTTAGTATTTATTGAGTACGCCTGGAATGTCAGGTCCTGGAGTGTTCAAAGTTGATTCTTTCTCTACCATTTCCACCCCAAGGAAGGTAGAAGTTTAGGGGTGACCACTCATTTAAGACTTACTTCTTGCTTTCAATGACACTAAAGTCTTCTAAATTTAAACACCAATGGCTGACTAGGCTCCAGCATGGTTTAAAAATGAGTCCCACCCTGGAATGCAAGTGAAAGAGTAACTTTTTTTTTAAATGGACGTTTGAGAAAACAAATGTGGCAAAATAAGTATCCTTGTATTAATTTTTCAAAAAAGTCATTAGGTAAGTGGCCCTACTTTTCTATTTAATGATATCAATGCCATCAAATACCTCTCTGAATTTCACATTCTTGATGAAATTTCCCTTCACCTTATAGCTTTTTTTAATTCAATAAATAATGGTGGTTTGTTGTGGGTAAGGCTTTTAAGGATTACAGAGATGAGTAAGTCACAGCCTTAGAATGTATGCTCTTGAGAGCAGATTTGTGTCCGAATCACTAATTTTTAGACAATTGTTGAATGTCTGTGTTTAACATTGTTAATATTTACAGTCTAATGCAGGGGATAGACTTGTATATATTTAACTGTTATATAAGTCACTATAGTCTCAAGTGGTAAAATAAGGCAGTGACAGTTTTGTTTCCCAAAGGACGTTTGGCAGTGTTTGGAGAGTTTTGGTTCCTACAACAGTAGTGGATCAAGACCAAGGATGCTGAAAAATACTCTGCTCATTATGCATCAACACCTGCCCTACAACAAAGGTTGACATTTTCCGTCAGTAATGCTGAGTTTGAGAAACCCTGTAGAGGTAACAACAATATGTTTATTGTGCATGCAGGAATGAGGTTGCTTTAAGAAAAAAGTAAGAGGGCAGAAACTACACAGTAAGTATCTTAATTGATAGTGGAATTTTCAAATCTTTTAAATGTAATTGATTATTGTTTTGAAAGGCAAAACAGCAATAACAGAGTTGTGGTATTTTTAGAATTTTTTGAAGTTAGCAGCAGGTCTGTTATTCAAATGAGGAGCCAATATTTGAGTTCCTGCTGTGTCAGGTACTTTTCTTTACATGTTATTGCACTGCAGTTCTTACAGTAGTCCTCTGAAGGTGAGCTTTAGCTTCCTTCTCTGCAAAAAGGAGGATAACATCAACTTTTTTCCACTCTAATTTATTAGGCATTATTTTCATTTTTGTAATGGTTGCTTTAACTTATCACAGTCTTTCTTCAAGTGATAGATAACCATTTTGTGTGTAGTGTAGAAATCTTTTGACAGTGTTCAGTTCTGATGCACCACATCCTTTGTGCCATTTTGTCATAAGTTTACTTCTGTGTCTGTTGCAAACCCTTTTTTATTGTTGTTATTTTTAAAGGTTTTTTTTTTTAAGAGACTAAGAAATGAAAAAGTAACTTTTTATTACCATTGTATTTAGCATTTCAGGTATTCTTTACACCTTCAGAAAAACTAGATTTCCATCTGGTATTATTTTTCTCTGAAGAATTTCTTTTCACAGTTATTCTAATGTTGATCAGTTGGAGAAGAATACTCACAGCTCTTATTATTCTGAATAAATTAATTTTTCCTTAGTTCTTGAAAGTTATTTTTGTTAGGGAGTGAATGTCTAGGTTGACGATTTTTTTTCCCCCTAGCTTTTTGTTTAAGGGCATAGCTTCATTGTCTTGTTTTCTGGCTCACTTAGATAGGAAGTCTGTTGACCTTCTTTGCTTTGTATATGTAGTCTATACTTTTTTTTCCTTCTGATTGCTTTTAAGATTTTCTCTTTATTACTCCTTTTCAGCAGTTTGGGTATAATGTACCTTGAGGGGAGGGTTTCTTTATGATTATTCTTTTTTAGTGTTAGGTTTCTTGGATCTGTGATATTATTTTATATCAAATCATTTTGTCTTAATTTTTTTTTCCGTTTTCTTCCTCCTACTTCTTGGGTCTCCAGTTATCCTCCTCCCCTTTGTTAAAACAATGCTTAGTCACTAATGATCTGAGTTTAAGATTTTTTTCTACCTGAAAAAAAAGATCTTTCTGTTTTATTTGGATAGTTTCTAGTATGCTGTCTATAAGTTCACTTATTTTTATTCTCCTGTGTTTAATCTGCCATTAACTGCATCCATTGTGTCTTTCATTTTAGAAATATTTTGCTTTCATCTCTGTAAGTTCAATTTTGGTTTCTTTTTAATTTTGTTTCCCTCTTTGTTGGGATCATGTTTTCTTCTCCTTTCTTGAATATGGAACACATTTATGTTATAGTTCTACAGTCCTTTTCTATTTATGCCCTCTCCTGTCATTTCTTATTATTAATTGACTTCTTATTAATTATTATTAATTAATTAACTTTTTCTGCCTATAGGTCATATTTTTCTCCTCCTTTGCGTACCTCATAATTTTGTATTGTATGCCAGCCATTAAGTCTTACTCTGTTGCCTGCTTGACTTGTAATCCTCAAGAGTGTTGAATTCAGTTGAAGTACACTGTTAGATTATTTGGAGTCTTTGGATTGTTTTGAGGATTTTAGGCTTTGTTAGTGTGGCATAGTTTGGTCTTTAAGATTACTTTTTTTCAACAAGTGTTCGAATGCCTACTATTTTAAAATTCAAATATGTAAAAAACATACTTGCCTGCAAGGAACTCACAAGAGGAAAGTATGCAAACAATTGCACTAAAGGCTTAAAGGACACACCACTTGGGGAGCATAAAACAAGTGGTTATTAATTGGGGGAGAAAGGTAAGGAGGGATGATGAGTCAAGCCTTCCTCAAAGAGAGAGGTCCTAGAATTTATGCTTGAAGGATAGGTAGCAGTTTAGCTGATAGAAGTGAGAGGGTGGATGTGAGGGAAGTTTAGCACGTATGGTGGATGACCTCATGGCAGGATTGTGTGCATGAGAGGAAGTAATCGCATAGTGGGACAGGAAACTGGAGTACAGGGAGGGACAGGCACACTTTGTGAAACCTGCTCTTGGAGTACTAATTTAGTTTCATGAATTGTAGAACTAGCATAGGATATCATGAATCTATTCATGAGGGTAATGCTGCAGGGCTTAATTACCTCCCACTAGGCTTCAGCTCTTAAGTCTCACCACCTCCTAGCACTGCTATACTGGAAACTAAACCTCCAGCCCATGAACCTCTAACCAGGGATATTATCTCTAGCAGAATATTTAGTCAGAAGTGTGTAATAAAAAATTGGACATAAACTGAAACTCAGATACAGAACTGAACTGAAAATATAAATTAGAAAGTAACTATTTGCATAGTTAAAAGCAAGGGTAGAAGTAAATTGTCTTTGGAAAACTTAAATGGAATGAAAACCAGAAAAGAAGGATGAAGGTAAGGAAATATTAATGTGTTTTTTTCGTTTTGTTTTTTGTTTTTTTGGCACTGAGGATTGAACACAGGATCTTGTGCTTGCGAGGCAGGCAGTGGAACCACTGAGCTAAATCCCAGCCCAGGAAATATTAATGTTTGAGTTAACAAGTTATGAAATAATGGAGGAAAGGAGACCAATGTAATGATTAGAAGAAATAAAGTGTTTCTCAGTCAGACATTACATAGTTATTAGAAATCTGGACTTTTGGATTCTATGTAGACTTGATTGTGGATCTTCTCAGCATGTGTATGAATTAGAAGTAAGCTGATTCATATGTGTACTGAAGTTTGAGAACTAGTCCAGCTGGAGGAAAGTCAATATAAACCAGTTATTTATAGAAGACAAGAAGGTTATTTCATATTCCTTGTCATGGTTAAGTCTTCTGATATTAAAAAAGGTCAAATTATAGACTATGTTAACTTTAACATTTCCCAGGCAGAGAAAAGGTAGGAAGACTTGGAAATATTTTTTATTGTAAAATAATGTATGCATACCCTCAAAAATACAAGATATAAGGGCACAGACAAAAAATAAAATAAAACTCATAATTGCATCTGCCCAGATAAAACCACTGTCTGTACACATCTACCATATGTCCTTTTTATATTGCATGTATAAATACACACTTGTAGTTCACAGGTTTTATGCAAAGTGGAATAATGCAAGCATGCCAGAACTGGGTTTATTTAATAATCTTTCATCTTCCCATAATATAGGTTGATGACATTTAAAACATCTTTTAAAAATCCTTTGTCTTGGCGACCTTGTTGACAGTTCAGTGAACCTCCTTCAAAACATTTCCTAGGTATGTAAAACATGTGTGTCAGAGTTGTGTGTTTATATATCTATTTTAATTGTAGGTAAGAGCACATTCTTTACACAATTCTACATCTTGCTTTTTCATACTAGTATGTATTATTTTAACTCATTCTTCCCAACAGCTGGGTAATAATTAAGAGAATACATTAGAATGTTTGAATTAATGATTTTCTGTGTCTTTGAGCTCTAGCAGCTCACTTTGCAGGTGTTTGTTTTGTCCATCTGTATTTTCTTGTCTGTCATCTGCTTTTATTTTCTCTCATTTCACTTTCATTTCTTTTATTGTAATACTCTGCTTAGAATTTTTTTATTTACCCAGAATAGAACACAAAACAAACAATCATTAAGTGAAGAGTTTATTATAATACAAAGATATTTTGGGGAGGGATAGTATATTTTGCTTCTCGTGCAATCTAAAACTGTATACTTTCTAATTCTATAACATGATGAGGAAGCCCTGCATCCAGTATTTTTCATTATCCTGTCTGTCTGCACCATTTCCAAAGATTATTTTTGTCTTTCCTTTACCAGAAGTATGCCATATCGTCTCCTATTTGATTCACTTTTATGTTGCACAGATACTTTCTGGTAGATTGATATTTTTGTGAGACAGTATTTTAACTTAAACACAAAGTAGAGGAGAATGGTTTAGTAAATTGTTTTTCTTCCATGACTGAAGCACAGTGTAAATGTGGAACTAATCTTTCATCTTTATTAATTTTAAACAATGATATGACTTCTGAGGTACTATTAGATAATGTAAGTGTTGCGGGGGGGCCATGATTTGTCTGGATTTTTTTTTTCTTTTTGTGGTACCGGGAATTGAACTCAGGTCCTTGCACTTGCTAGGCCAGCACTGTACCGCTGAGCTACATTCGCGGCCCTTGCATGTATTCTTTTGTGTTTGTTCATAAACATTGTTTTATAGTTGCCATATTGGATTCCATATCTCAGCCTTGAATATTGAGGTTCCATTGTTGCAGCTGGGGTATTTTCTCAGCACTCAGCCACGCCCCACAGCGCATCACACTTTAGGGGCAGCTCTTGTCTGTAACTAGTTTTATGCTGTGAGGTAGTGTTTACCTTTGATTAGAATGACTTTAGTCAGCAGCTGCAAAGATAATTGCTGCTTCCCCTGTCTTTCCCCCAACCCCCACTTCAGGCAAGGTTAGGAGTCAACTCTGTAGAGGTGTTACGTGTGCCATTGCTCTATCCTTCAATGTTATTTTTTGTGTTTGTCATGGCCTCATTGCAGAATTGAGCTAAGGGCTATTTAATCACTCTCTTGTTTCTGGCATCTAGGTTGTTTTTATTTCTATTATGAAGTGTGATGCACAGCTTCTCAAATCATGATATACTATAGAGAAGTGCCTAAGAGCACCCCAGTACTAGAGTTAGAAAATTTAGATTTTAATATTAGCTCTGCCATTTATTGTGTGGGTTTGGGTAAATTGCTTAACTTTTCTTGCCTCAGTTTTTCTAATTGTAAAATTGGAGAATACAATAGGATGTTAAATGTCTTAGCAAGCACTTATTCCTCATATACTCTCATTTAGAACCTCAGATGCTTCAAGATCATAATTTGCTTTAACAGACTCCCAAAGGTACACTTGGTGGGTCAAAGGGTAGGAAACTACTCAGAGTTTTGATGTGTATTACAAAGTTGCCTTCTAGAGGGGCCAGGGATTTAGCTCAGTGATGCTGCTGCCTGCCTTGCAGGCACAAGGTCCTGAGTTCAATCCCTGATACCAAAAAAAAAATTGCCTTCTAGAAAGCAGTGCCACTTTACCCAGGAGCTGACTTTGAGAGTGTCAGCTTTTCTGGAACCTTTGTGTTGGCTTGTATATTTTATGTTTATGTGAAGTTTTGGGCAACTCCATTTGCCTCTGAAGGTTTCTGACAGTTTGAGAATGCTGTGGGGAAAAAAGAAAAGTTAGTTGAACTGAGACAAATAAAAGGATTATCCCCTTGTTTTGTCCATGTAAACCTTATACTTAAACCTTGTTTTTGGTAATTTTGTTCCTCTTGGTCATTTTGGTCCATGTGTAAATATTTTAATTTTTCTTTTGCTCACGTTTTGTACTTTCCAAAGTGCCTCCCTTACATTATTTTCCATTCAATTCTCACAAAAGACCTGTCCAGTAATTAGCATATTACATTTATTAAGGAAACAGATTCAGAAACATTATGATTACCTAGAGGAAACAAAACAGAACAAGGATGTGAATGATCTATAGAATGGTTCTTGGATCATATTGGTCCTTTTTTGGTACTGCTTCAGTTTCAGTGACCAAACTTTTATTGTTACACAAGAGCACTAGAACTTGACCTTAGTTCAGAACAGAATAACATTATAATTTTTTTCTAAATATTAAAATCTAGGAATCTCTAGAGGAGGAAGTGCGTGTTTGAAGTGTACTTACACACTTCACTCTTATCTAACAAAAGAATATAAAATTAGAGCTTCACTGAAATTGAGTTTTTAAAATTCTGAAGGGGGACTAGATTAAATTGTTTGCATATAAATCTCTTTATACTGTAAATTCATATTGACCAAATGTCTTCGAAACCTGAAATAGGCAATCCTTGATAAGACCAGCCTGATTTAGTGAAGATACTCGAAACTAAGTATTTCTTAAATCTTTATTGATTTAGACTTTTGGTTATTTAGAATTCAGTCTTCCATGACTAATTAATAAAACTTTTTCTTTGGAAGTCTCCAAACCCAAGAGGACTATTACTATCTTGTTTTCTTGTCTCCAAGTATGTAGTGTGAGTAGGTCTTAAGTGAATGGTTAATGTTATACAGTCAAATGTAGATATTGAGTGGTTAAAGTCCTGGGTTAAGTTCTCAAAGGTTTTAATTAGAGTGTTATTAAAAAGTTAAGAATTAGTTTTAGAATTTTTCCTGAAGGATGTGTGTGTGTGTAAGTACTATTAATCATTTAACTTGGATGTGATGTCTAGTCATTGGTGTGCTCCTATACTCCTTTATAAGGAATTCATGTTTATTTATCTAATTTTATACGTAAAGATTTCATATTACCATTTTTGTATTATCACAGCCTTCTGCTCAGCAATGTCTATAGCAATTATTGTTATTGTAGAGATAAGAGTGACTCTGGAGGCAGGAAAGCTAGGATTCTGTTTCAGTACTATTTAAGATTTAAAAAGGCATTGCAAATAATTCTTATTTAATTCTTATTAAAATAATTCTTATTAAAAAGGATAGTGAAGCTGTACAGAAAAGAGTAAACTATATTATAATTTTGAACCTCAAAATAAGATTATTGTAATGTTTTTATATCTCATTAAGGTACCAGCATTTACCTATTTTTCAAAAATATGTTGGGTTGTTAAGTAATTTTTAGGGGTCAAGTTTTTTCATTTTTCTTTAAATGACTGAGTTTAAAGTAACTAACAAAATACTTACCTGAAATACTAATAAATCAGTTTTTCTTTTTAATATGTTTTCTTTAGGTGTTTTGTGCATCTGCTTTGCAGTGATAGCACACAAAACTAATATAGTTATGGCGACTTTGCAGCCTTTCAGAAATAGTCATGTGAAACCTAGAGCATCTGTCAGAAAAGTAAGTTCACTATATTAGGTTCGTTTTTATGAACATTTTAATGTAACTGTTGATCATGTTAAAATTACTATTGCTGTGACATTTAGTTTTAAATGAGTCTTTTTTTATATGCCTTGAGCTTTACCCTAAAGGTTTGTAAGAGATACTATCATTTATTTATTTAGCGAATACAAATTTGAGTCTAATTAAGCACTATGGTAGATGTTGGATAATTAGTAAGAAAATATAGTTAGGAAATTAGTAAGAAAATATAGTAAGAAATACAGTTATTAATCCTTTCTAGTCTGAGGAAGAACCCCTTATTTTCTCTCTTAATATAAGTTGGAGCTGGGCATGGTGGTGCATGCCTACAATCCCAGCATTCTGGAAGGCTAAGGCAGGAGGATCCCAAGTTGGAGTGTAGCTTGGGCAACTTAGTGATTTGGCAAGACCTTGTCTCAAAATAAAAAATAAAAAAGAGCTAGATATGTCGCTCAGTGCAAAGGCACTGTGTTTCATTCCCCAGTACCACAAACAAAATGAAACAAAACCCTAAGACAATTTGGTTAATCTTCTGCTTCTTGACATTTTGTTTTTGCTAACACTTTGGGGCATTACTTGAAGAAGAAAAGAACAGAGACTGGCAGATGGTTACCAGCCTTTTCCGTCCTTTTTCTGCTCTTCATCTTCTGGCGTTGGACATTCTTGACCAGTCCTTAACCTGTTAAGGCAGTCTCAGACTTTCACTAACACTGTTTTTCTTGCTTTCCTTCTCTTATGATAGCTGTCTTCTCTATTATGATAGTACTCATAAGGGAAGAGATAATTCATGTAAAGAGGAAAGGGCCAGTGTCCTTTAATTACCAATTTTCAGATTAATGACTTGGAATTATAGTCACTTCTAATGATGGCAAGTGAGTTTATTTTCCTTTATTTGTATTGCTTTGGACTCAGATTTTGACTTTTTTTTTGGTACTAGAGATTGAATCTAGGGCTTCGTGCATATTAGGAAAGCTTTTTACCACTGAGTTTCATCCCTGTTTCTTAAATTTCATTTTGAGACAGAGTCTTACTAAGTTGGTCAGGCTAGACTCTTAACTTGCAATCCCCCTGCCTTAGCCTCCCAAATAGCTGGTATTACAGATGTGTACCAGCTGTTTTTTAGCAGTTCTATATTTTACAATCATTTATTTATAGTGATTCATTCATTCATCTATGTATTTGTTCATTTATTTATTTGAAATTGGTCAAATTGTCCTTAAATTGTTATCAATGTGTAATTGCCTGACTGCTTTCTTGAATTCAGGTTTTACCTCTTTGACAGAATGACACAGTTTGACCTTCCTCAGACCTGAAATTGGCTGTTTTTTTCAAAGAAGCCTGAAAAGTATTTAGAAACTAAGATTTGGGTACTAGGAATGCCCTCTGGTGTACATGAGTTTATATTGATAGCTCACGTTCAGATTTCACATTTTATATATTTTCTGTTTTGATTGTGTATCCATAAATTAGCACAAAAATCTCCAATATTGAAAACAAATTATTTAGGTATGAACATTTTCAGGTTCATAGAATAGTTGGGATAAAACCCCAGTACTATAATGAATATGTTATATTCTTTTTTTTTGTTACTGGGGATCGAACTCGGGTTCTTGTGCTTGCAAGGCAAGTGGCAGAACCACTGAGCTAAATCCCTGGCCCTATGTTACATTCTTTACTTAGGTTCACCCTTTGTTAACATTTTGCCACACCCAGTTTTTATACCTCTTTTTCTATATACACACCCACAGTTCCCTTTTGCAGATATTATTTAATATGTCAGCACCATTACCTCTTCTAAGAAAAAAATGAATTAAATAACATCATCTAATATGCCCATACATAGATTTTCCTGATTGTCTCAAATGTCCTTGTAACTTTTTCCTTGCCTCACATCTAGGAGGATCCAGTGAAGGCTCCTACACTGCATATATTATTTTGTCCCTTTCATCCCCTTCATTTTAGACCTTAATGGTTTAGATTCTTTTCTCATGACAGCAAATCTTTATAAGAGTCTAGGCCTGTTGTCCTATAGAATATACCCATCTTCTGTGTCATCTGGTTTTCCCTGTAACTAGGTTCACCCGGAATACCTCAGAGATGATTCTACATTCATTTCACACTATCAGATCAGGAGGTGCATGCTGTTGATGCCAGGCTTTACCAGGTGGCCAAGATTGTAACCATCTTATAACAGTACCTTTGTAATTAGAAGGATAATAGACCTATTAGATGATAGTTCGTGATAATATGAATATCCTGTTCCCCAATAGCTTTTAACCTAGTAAATTTAGGATACATTGATGATTCTTTCCCTAAATCAGTAATTACAATTGGAGTTACAAATAAGATTTTTCTGATTTAGTCATTCTGTCCATACTTGTCAGCTAGTGTTTATGGGTAAAGAGTGCCTCATGATTACATTGAGCAGTTATAATCCATTTCCATTTTTACTCTTTTTGATGTCCCAGTATCTCAGAATTGGCCAGGAGGAATTCCTTCAAGCTGGCTCTGTGTTCTTTTGAAATGATACCATTAATCTTTGAGCATTTCCTTGCATTCGTGCAAAGGAGTATGTTCTAGGTTCATTCTGTACTTTCTCTGGCCCAGGTCTGGAACCAGCCATTTTTCTGAGTTTGTTTGTTTTGTTTTTTTGGTGCCGGAGATTGAATTCAGGACCTTGCGCTTGCGAGGCAGGTGGCGGCACTATTGAGCTAAATCCCAGGTGCTACTTTAGTTCATTTTATTGGTGATTTTTTATTAGAAACCAAACTCTGGGTATTGGGTATGCTCATTGCCACTGAGGGTCATTGCTTCTAAGACTTTTCAATGGAAAAATGTGGTACATGTATTTAGAGGATTTTATTATGGGTTCATATTGATAGATCAAATTCAGATTTACTTATTTACTTTTGAGACAAGGTCTTGCTATGTAGTCCAGAGTGACTTTGAACTCACTATGTAGCCCAGGCTGAATGTAAATTCACACAGTCCTGCCTCAACCTCCCAAGTGCCGGGACTACAGGGGTGAACCACCATACTCTCCTCAAATTCAGATTTAATGTTACATTTTTTTCCTTGAATTCTTTGATTTCTTATTTATATTTCTTCTTTTAAAGCAAAGATTTACACTAACTTTATTAAAGTTAGAAGCTCTTTGTTGACTTCATGTAGTATTTGAGGTTCTGAAATCTAGGGAAATGAGTGAAGTGTACTTTGACCTCCATAATTTAGTTTAATGGATAGGAAAGCATTATAATGAGAATAGTAAATATAAAATGTTATGATTTAGATTAAATGATCTTAATATGCAAACAATATGACAATAACTTTGAAAGCATTTTAATATGACTAAGGGATGGGAACAATTTTCAGGTCTTGGGATGGATAGGCTTTCTACGAGGAAGACTGGAATAAGGACATTTCTGATAGAAGAGCACATTATCAAATCAAAGGGGGGAGTAAGGTAGAAGGAAGTTAATGTTCTCTTTAAGTGCAGCTGTAATACTCATTTTGTTTATGTAAATTCTTCCTCCCTCTATTTGTTTGTCCTTGACAATCTCCATCCTCAAATCCAGAGGTCTGTAAACCTCCTGAAAAACCTTATTTTGAGTTACTCTCTTTTTTCTGTCCCTGTTAAGTGAATAATCACTATTATTAGTGTCCCTATAGCGCTCACATTGTCTCACTCATTATGTAAATTGTTCTCTTTGTTCTGTCAGTGACTTAGAAATCAGACATGCAACCTGTTAGTTTTAGCTTAAAGTAAGAGTAAGCAAACCTGTGGCTTATTGAGGGTCCTGTGTGGTTTTCCAGTAAGCTAAATACCTAGCCTCTGCTATATTCATGTGTTCTGGGTACAAAGAACTCTTACTTAGCCTTTTCACCTGAATGGAACTTTTCTTCTTGGCTGAATTGAGTTCTCCAAACAATGTCAAAAGACATCAAATGAATATTAATTGGAGAATTGGTGACTTTTCATCCAAAACTAGAGTATCTACAGGATCTCTTACCTTGTCTTAGAGTTAAATAAATTAAGAATGTCTTTTTTCCCCCCAGAGCTTCAGTGAAGATGTATTCCAGTCTGTAAAGTCTTTATTACAGAGTGAGAAGGAACTATGCAGTGTATCAGACGAGGACTGTTTAAAGCAGGACGAACATGCCAATTTAACTGAGGTTTGACATATTACTTTCTAAATCCTTTCTTATTAAAGCACAGTGTGGATACATGTTTTAAATACCGGCTAACACAATTGTCCTAATGCATTATGCTGAGTACAGTAAAGTGGGTAAATGTTATTTACTACTTATTGAGTGTTCCATTCTGAAACATAAAGTTTATTTCCTGTATTCATTTTTTGAGTTATTAGTTTTCATGGCTATTTCTTTCTTTGTTTTTTTTTTCTGTTACCGGGGATTGAACTCAGAACCTTGTGCTTGCCAGGCAGGCGCTGGAATCACTAAGCTAAATCCCCAGCCCTCATGGGTATTTCAATACTTTGATTCAACAGGAAAAGGTAGTCATAAATTTATCTTTGAAATTATTCCCTTTGTTACTTGAGGATAAGATATTCAACTTGCTCAGCTATTTCTCTGCTAAGTCTAATGTTTCCAGTCTTTGTCTGAATTCATTGCTATAAAAGAGTAACATTTTAAAAAATAATAGATCAGTAGCCATATATAAAGATATATAATCATATAACAATATATCAATAGTCTGTCATCATGTTCATTTAATAACCAAACAAGACATGTGATGTTGGGTCTTTGCAGCTTAAAACTAAAACGTATATTAAATTTTTGGTTTATTTATTTATTTTTTTGACAGTACTGGGAATGGAACTCAGGACCTTGCACTTGCCGGGCAGGCGTGGCAGCGCCACTAAAGCTACATCCCTGGCCCTGTTAAATTTTTTTTGAATGGGGTTCTAATGAAAACCTTCATTATTCATATTTTGAAGAATGATTTTCTTTCATATTACTTGAGAAATTCTTGATTTGGCTGCATTTCATAGGAAGATGAAAATACTTTTGGGGCCTGTATTTTTTTGCTACTTGCACCTCTTCTTTTTATATCAGCTCAGTTTCTGTAGCTCTTGACCTACCTTTTTTTAAAAAATTAATTTTATTGGTACATTTTAGGTATACAATATAATGACATTTATAATTGGAAATTTACACCTTTACATAATCTCTCTTGGTTCTTATTTTTTCCCCATCCCCCTGCCCTCCCTTCAACCCCTCCACCCCTCCCCATTTACAAAGACTTTGTTTCCATATTTTCATTTTCTCATATTCCATTCCCTTCTTTCCTTTCCCATACCCCTCCCACTTCCCCTTTGCCCCTTTTCGTCCTTTTTCACAGTATCTATTATACCTTTTAGTCCTTATTTACACTTTCAGTTTCTCACACTAGAGAAACTATTCGGTATTTACACATGTGTGTCTTACTTCTTTTTTTAATTTAGAAGTATGACCTCAGGGCTGGGGATTTAGCTCAGTGGTTTCACCGCCTGCTGTGCAAGTGCAAGGACCTGAGTTCAATGCCTGGTACCAAAAAAA